AAATATAAAAAATCTAAAATATAATTAGAATAATTATCAAGTTCTAACAAAATAAATAATTATTATCTTTGTAAAATATTATATTATTAAACCAAATATAATTACTTCGTTATTGTACATAAATTCAATTATAAAAAAATTGAATTAAAAAATTACACCAAAAAATGAGGAATTGCAAATAGTTAATTTGATACTAATATCGATATATTTTTGTCAAATTTTTATGATATCTTCAAACATATATTTTATTCGAAAATAAAAACATCATCGTTTTCTCAAAATCACATAAAGTCATATTATAACATCGACTGAGATAAAGAATAAAATGAAATATTAAAATGACGATGTATCTCGCTGCATTGCGCGAGTACGCTTCTAGTATTATTAAAGCAAAAAAATTTATTTCGTTATTAAACTTAAATTAAATTATAATAAATAAATAAATAAATTACATAAAAATGAGAATTTTTAAATAGTTGCTTTGATATAAACATTGATATATTTCTTTTTCAAAATTTTATGATATCTTCAAATTTATATTTTATTCAAAAATAAAATCATTAATGCTTTCTTAAAAACACATAAAATTGTATTATAACATCGACAGAGACAAATAATAAAATAGAACATTAAAATCGAGATGTGTCTCGCTGCATTGCGCGAGTACTCTTCTAGTTATATTATAAAGCATTTGACAAAAACTTTTAAGAAATATTTTTTATGCATGAGTACTGTTTATTGATGCATATTACTTAAAATTCAAGATTACAAGTAAATTGTGTCTAAGTACAACTTATTAAAGCTCTATGTTTGAATTCGTGTAATTAACTGCGGATAAATATAATCAAATATATGATAAAGATCTCATTTTAAAATACAAAAAAATCTAAAATATAATTGGGATAATTATTGAGTTATAACTAAATACTTAATTATTATATTTATAAATAAAAAAATATATTATTAAACCTAAATTAAATTACTTCGTTAAGTTAGATTAAATTATAATAAAAATTTTGAATTGAAAAGAAAAATACACAAATAAAAACTTTTAAATAGTTAATTTGATACTAATGTTAATATATTTTTTTGCAAATTTTATATGATATTTTAAAATTTATATTTTATTCAAAACTGGGGCCTAGACCGGAAATTACAAAACCTGCCTCGTCCCGTGGTCATGCCTATATAGAACAAGAAAGAGGAAAAAGAGAGACATGTATGTTTTTATACCTTAATGTTATATACGATCATGATGTTAAACAAAAATATTCATATAAAATAATAACCAATAAATACACACATTCCTCCAACCATTCGATTGTAAATCTCTTGATTCGTTCACAAAATAACAAACCACTCCTATATATTCTCTCACTTGATAGTGTTTTACAACTTAACCTCTGCCATTTCCTTTTTGTAACAAACACACAAAATCGATCAAACACAACAATAATAACAGAAGCATCTTGAAATTATATGTTACAAATACATTGATACATATTATAATATGTATCTGATCGGATAAGTAGGGGTTACGACTCTTACCCAGTAAGTGTTTACTAGGTTATTGGTGACTCTTGTCGGTAAATGTTTATCCAGTAAACGGTTGGTAAATGACCCCTAAATGAGAGTCATCGAATGCAAAAACTATTGAAAAATGAATAAGTAAAATGCAAAAGGAACCAAGGAACCAAAGTAATCGAACACCCTAAAAAACTGGAAAGAGCGACTTGTTTAAAATTTCCAATAATATATCAAATAAAGGATAAATCC